TGCGTCAATATATTCCTTGCTGTATTACTCATTACTTACTGCAAGGTTTTTTTTTAAATATTGGATATTTTTAAAGCAAAATATCAAAAAACGCACGACCTAGCCACTGATAAAAGCATGCTCACTATAATTTATAATTATGAATTTCAAGTTTCCCGTGCCTTATATGTTTTAAAACATACATTTTTGATAATATTATCGTTTAGACTTATCAAACTTGTAAAGACTGTAGGTTTATGATTTATCTAGAAAACTAAATGCATGTTTTAACATGTTTTTATTTTCAAATTGTGTAATCTTCGTTATCTGTACACTTTTTTATACTGTACGATTCGTTGCGTAAACATTGTATTTGTCAAATGAATTTTGCATATATTAAAACATGTTTTCATATGTGGATAACAATATACATGTTAAAATAAAATAATTTACTACCATAACCACATTATAATATCCGTTGCATATTTGAAATACACTTGGAAGTATTTGAGTTCTTTCGTACATATAAGAAGTGTAATAATCAATATGACAGTGTTAATTGGTAAGAAAATACAATTGTTCGACAAATTACAGATATCACTGGCCGAGCGTACGAATAGACGCATGCGACTGCCCATTTGATAACATTTTTCAAATGTTTACCGTACGACATTCAACCATAAGCAAATCCCGTACCGTATAGGAAAAATAAACGTGAGCATATTAAAAAAACAAGAGGTATAATTTATACTACCACAAGAAATGAAAACAATTAAAACAATTTAAAAAAAACAATGGATTAAAGGTTCTTGACTTGGATCAGATTTTTTTTACTTTTGCGCGCAACTTTTTATTACATTTCCGCTTTCATTTTAAGGTAACGCATATAAATATATAGATGATTCATAATAAATTTGTCTAAAGTTTATTTTTGAACATATTTATCATTTTGAATTATACATTTTTGCATATTGAATTCTTAAAAATCATAGTTAGAGATCATGAGAAATCCCGTTAGCTCTTAAGACATACATGCAACTTAATTGCGACGTACGGTGGCCTATACAAATCTAACTCAACTGTGTGTTTGTTTATTCCACATTGACTAGAGGTATAGGGGGAGGTTTGAGATCTCACAAAACATGTTTAACCCCGCTGCATTTTTGCGCCTGTCCCAAGTCAGGAACCTCTAGCCTTTCTTAGTCTTGTGTGTCTTTTAGTTTTGGTTCATTTATATGTTTCGGAGTTTAGTGTGACGTCCATTTCGCTGAACTAGTATACATTATTGTTTAAGGCCAAATGAAGCCCGACTCCAGGTGCGGAGTTTTCTCGCGGCGTTGAAGACCCATTGATGGCCTTAAGCTGTGTTCTGTTCTTTGGTCGGGCTTTTGTCTCTTTGACAGATTCCGGTTTTCCATTATATATTCTAATTGCGAATATTGAAGACTGAACAGTATTCTGTTTCCTAATTTTACTTATCTTAATTTAAGTCATTTTGTGAAGTTGCGTCAACGCACATCTTAAAAAATATAAAGTGAACGATGCATTTCCTTTCCATATCGATAGAACACGTTTATCCTGCCTTTGAAATTCTTTACGGTGCGTCGCCTTGAAATATCCCCTATATCAGGTAAATAGATAAAAAGATTAATAAATAAATAAATATATTCTACCTTATTTTCTCCGTCTTTTCACTCCCCCGAAACCAAACTTTTCTTAACTATATATTGTAGAAAATCCAGACACAGTATAGGGTTTTGTGTTGCAACAAGATCGCATTTAATATAACATAGGTCATGCGTTTCACAGACTGTTTATGACTTCTTTACACTAAATCAATTGGATGTTTACGGATTGATACTTTAGCCTGGGAGAACACGATTTATTTATTAGTAATAATTGGCTTTGAACTAGCTTTCAGTAACTGCGAAAACTCTTATTTCTGTGATTTGTGTCAATTGTTTTTATACTAGCTGTTTGAGTGCCTCATACCGATCGTCTGAATTAAGCCAATTGAAACTGATTTTTACAGTTTGTTCTGCTGTTACACTACTGATCCATGTTAGGGGGAGAGTAGTGTTCTCACATACATGTTTAACCCCGCCACATTCTTTATGTGAATGTCCCAAGCCAGGAGCCTGTAGTAGAGTGGTTGTCGTTGTCATATATGGTTTTTCGTTAATTATTTTGTTATAAATGAGTCTATAACTGCTTACTACCTCTTCATTTTAACTCTGGAAGATAGTTGTCTCATTTGCAATCACCACATTTCCTCATCTTTATATATGTATAAGAGCATCAAATTCAATATGCACATGTAAATACGAACTGTGTGGAAAGTACTAGTAGTATATATGAAGGTTATTTGGGTTGAATGGGATGGAAATAGAGTAAAAAACTAATTTTATGTCCGAACTTTCTTGTAACGAACGCCACATTGATCAAGTACGTATAAAATTTTCTTTATATACTGACCACCAAAATTGTAAGTCCAAAAAAGAATTCGATATGGAGTACCAATACCTAATTTAGATATTGAAAACCGTTATGGCAAACCAAGGACCGTAAAGAAATGGAATGTGTATCATCAAGGTTTCCTGTTTTACCTGTAAAATGAATCGGACAAATGTAATAAAAATTTGCTCACAAATGTAATGATTTTTACGCGCAAATGTAATGGTAATGGGCGCAAGATATAAACGTTATTGCTTAATTTCCTCGAACATTATAATGTTTCTTCATGAAAAACCATTAATAAGCACCAACTACTATTAAGGACACTTGTTATTGCTCTTGTTCTCTCGGTTGAATATCAAGAACACAGACGCGCACGTTGTTTAGTAATCGAAAACGTAAACTGTTTCTTGATAAGCGTAAGTGATTTATAATTCGAAGTAAAGTGTGGTTGTATTTCTGGCAAAATACAAAACCAACATTACCAAAATCAGCAACTGAAAGCATTTAGAAACACAACAAGCTTGACTTTCCAAACATTTGCCAATTTGAAAATAGTCATCACGATAAGTGTAACCATGCAATTGAGAATGTCAGCGTTTAAATAGGAAGCTCAGGTTACTGAACATTTTTTAACTTAAAAAGTAGGACAGAAATGACTATATGAATTAGAACTAATGCACGTGCATTATGATTGATTGGTTGTTGTTTTTCTTAGTGTCCAATGGCAAACATGTCATGCATGTTCAGGACGCGAACAAAGTACATGTAACAATAATTACAATATGAAGGTCCTATAATAAGGGTTGATCGGGATGAATTTTTGGGGGTTGGACTGCCAATGGAAAGTGAAATTGAGCCTTGCAAAATGCCACCTATGAACCCCTAAAGAGTTGTTGCAAGGCTTTTTATCGTTCGGAGGGCGTGGCATACTCTAATCGAGGAATTGGATTTAACGTCCCATTTCTGACCGGACGTGGCTGGGAATTTATCCATCCCGCACAGCCATACGGACGCTCCACTTTGAAAAGCGTTTTACTGCCCTTCGGAAAAAGAACAAGGTATGATCATTTTTCTATAACCCAGTTAACCCTTTTGGTTTGCACTTACATTATGTTTACACTAAGATTTTCATGGGCTCGTATACACTTTTGCTCTCAGACATCAAAGAAAAATTGAATTTAAATCAATTTTGTAAACCATGGTTTACCATTTGCTTTGTTGCTACCTTCAAGGCCTTTATTATCAAAGAAAAATGGAACGTGTTGAAAGTTAGTATTAGTGATACTCCCTTAAAAAATTTATGGGTCCGCCCCCGTCAAAGATACGATAAATAATGCGGCGGTGTTAAACATGTTTTCAAGTCAATCATATACCAAACCTAAGACGGTGGTGTAAAAATACAAGATAAAAAGTGACTATAGAACATTTGGAAAGGACATGACTCGTCATCTAATGCATTCGGCAAACAATGTTCAACGATCTCATCTGGTTTTTGTTCATTTAGAATGACATCTGCATTTGAGAGAGGCTCCAAATAGTGAATTTCATGGTTTACTACTTCGACAAAGTTAACAGATGCAATTTTACAATAAAACACAGAAAAAGAGGTGCCGATACCATCACAAATACATTAAAAAGACAGATTCGTGACGGTTTTTGTCAACGAATTGTACAGTGATTATTTGTAAGAGAGCAACAAACTTGACACATTTAGTGAAACGAACGATACAGTATAAGATGAACTTATTTAGTACGATATCGTGTTTATTTGGAGTTCTAGGAAGCATTCATTTGAAGCCACGTAGTCATTTAACTTGTAGTTATTTATTTTTGCTTAAAGTATTACTACACAAAAGTTAATGTAAGAAAAGATATTAAACATTGTTTACCTCATACAACGTAAAAAAATGCAACATGCCTGATCGTTTTGCACCTAGCAGTTTTATCGTTTTTTACAAAATCTGAAATTTGCAACAATGTTTTAACTTTATAATTGATTAGATAAACTAACATGTTCATGTACACATTGATATATACTCAAATACTAGTAGGTTCAAGAAAGACAATCGAAATTGTTGTCACCCTAAATGTTGTCCTGATTATCGGTTCGAACGCGTCAACGTCTGGATTCATTTGTATCGGGGTTATACGGGGTGTACATGCACTTTACAATTGACGTTTGGACATGTAATATGTACCTTATTTATTTCTACGTACATTTTTTTAAACTTTTAACATTAATAGAAGCTTGATATTCTTAATTGCAAACATATAGAACAACATGAAAAAACTAAAAGGAAAGAAAAGAAAAGATCAAAATTATACAATAATCGCATTATATATGTGTTATACATTTTCTATATTCTATTCATTTCGTTGTTCGGTCTACCATTGAAAATTATATCCCAACGCAAAAAAACGCGATGTAAATGTCTTTATTATTGCCTAATGACCAGTTATTAGAGAGCAAACACAGAATAATTTTTGTTCTATACTGTCACAGCTATGAAAAGATTAAATATTTTTACGAACGGACATGATTGAAACTTCATATAGCAACTAACCGACAGTTCCGCAATATTCTCCGATGGTTAATCCGTAGTCTTCGGTTCCTTCAGATATGGTAAAGGTGAAGTACTTAACATATGCTGTTTTCCCATCGAAAGCTTGTAAATCTATTCTAAGTACATAACTGTTACCTCGTGTCAACTGGTATATGTTTTCGTTCCCTGCAAAAATATATGTACAGGTAATTAGATCTTAGAATATTGTTTTATTGGTATACATATTGATTTTGTTATCAGTAAATTGAAACCATACAAAATATTATTGTTATACACATATGCACATTCACGGTACTACAACAAACTAATCATCGATACCAGGATTAAAGTTTCATACACTACACGCGCGCTTCGTCTAAAAAACCTCATCAGTTATGCTCGAATTAAAAAAGTGAAAATAGACCAAATAAAGTACGAAGTTCATGAGCATTGAGAACAAAAACTTCCAAAAGGTTTTGCATCCAATCAATATGTCGATACCTATATTTTGTCATGTTTTTCTCTGACTGTTCATGACATCTTTACGCTAAATCCATTAGATTGATATTATAATCTTAGATACATGATTTTTTATTGTTATTGACTTTGAACTAGCTGTCAGTAACTGTGAGTACTCTAAGATCTGTTCTTTGTGCCTTTGTTGTTGTTATGGATGAATGAATATCCTGCCACGTCCGGTGTGGTTTTGCTAGATGTATTTCTGCTTTTATCGATCTGATGAGTAAAGCCCTTTCCAACTAATTTTGATAGCTTGTTCTTATGCTGTACTTTTTCACCACTGTCCCGTGTTAGGGGAGGGTTGGCGCCTTGAAATATGTTTAACCCCGCCACATTCTTTATATAAGTCAGGATCCTGTAGTTCAGTAGTTGTCGTTGGTTCATGTTTTTCATATTTGTTTTTAGTAAATTGTTTTGGCATAGATTAGGCCGTTAGTTTTCTCATTTGGATTGTTTCGTACTTTTCATGTCGGGGTCTTTTATAGACGACTATACGGTATGGGTTCTTCTCATTGTTAAAGGCTGTACAGTTGCCTATAATTGGTTACATCCACTTCATTTGAACTCTGGTGGATAGTTGTCTCATTGGCAACCATACCACATCTCTTTATTTTTATATGTTGCTTTCACGATTAAAAAACACACCTGGGGTAAAATAGCGTGCAAACACTTGACAATAGTTAAAGATATGTTGACGTATGGATGTCTTATAACGTTACAGTGCACAAACGAAAAGGTTAAATTGGTAAAAAAAATTAAAAAAATTATTATTAAGCATTTAATATACATCATTTGCTTTCAAATGTTTAGGTTTAAGCTTTACTGATGAACCTAAATCTTGAAAAGAGCTTCGGACGTATAAAATGTATAAAATATTATTTTCATTTGATACCCATGCTTATGGATTGTTAGTCCCCGATGACATCATCAGTTTGGAAGCCCGTGTTTCGGTACTGGCATGTATTATAACATACATTTTTCTAAAATACCCTCTGGATAATTTAAGAAATTACTTAGAAACTAAAGTTCCAACTTCCTCACGAAAAGTGGACCTTATATTTGTTTTGCTATTCCTTTTATGTAGAGAAAACTGCTCCGGACGCATTTATTAATTCATTTCCGAGTAAACAGATTATTTATTTTGAGTGTTGAAGTGGTGCAATGATTTCCGACTTGGGATAAGCACATTGAGTGGTGCATAGATTCCCGACATAGGACAGGCACATGGTGTGGTGGTGCGGTCATTTCCGGTATAGGTTTGACGTATAGAGTGGTGATGCAAAGATTCCCGACGTGGGATAGGTACATTAAATGGTGGTAAAGAGATTCCCAACATGGGACAAGAGCTTAAACATATGGTGCCAATATTCTTGACAGGGATTACACACATAGAGTGATGGTGCAGAGATTCACGACACTGCATAGGAACCAATAATGGTGGTGTAGTTATTCCCGAAATATATATTAGCATAAAGTGGTGGTGCATAGATTCCAACAAGGGATAAGCACATTCAGTGGTGATGCACAGATTCCCAAGAAGAGTATGCACATTAAGTAGTGTTGCAGAGATTTCAGACATGGGCTTGGCACATTCAGTTGTGGTGCAGAGATTCCAAACATAGGATATATGAACAGCGGTATACTACTGTTGCCTTTGAATACACATTAAATGGTGGTGCGGAAATTCTCGACATGGGAGAGGCACGTTAAGTGGTAGTGAAGTCTGAATTCAAGCTTGTAGATGACAAAGTCATTTTCTGTAAAATCTACCTTTAAGGAATTTTGAAATGCTAACATCAATGAAAATACTTGGTTTTCTATACAAGTCAAAGGGTTAGGAAATACGTAAACATAACTTAACCCTTACACTCACCTTCGGAACAGCTTTTTTGGGAGATTTCATTTTTAATGGTCTCTAACATCGTCATTGATTCCGTATTCAAATCGTTTTTGATTCGAGCGTCACTGGTGAGTTTTATGTAGACGAAACGCTTCTATCGTAGTGAGTTATAAGCCTGTTACCCTTCAAAAGATTTTATGTTGTAACGACTATTATATTATTTATTTGTGCGTTTCTCTGTGCTGAGTTTTCTTGCGTTTGTTTGTGCTGTATTTCTGTCGCGTAGTGTTGTCATTTTAGCGATATTTTTAACATTGCCATGTAAGCGGGAGGTTTGGCTAGACATAAAGAAAGGTATAATCCACCATTTTTTCTTAAAATGTCCTGTACCAAGTCAGGAATATGGCAGTTGTTATCACATAGTCCGTTTATATGTGTGTTGGCGTTTGTTTTTGTTGCACTTCAGTGTTCCTGTTGTTCCGTTGTTTTCCTCTTATAGTTGATGTGTTTCCCTCGGTTGTAGTTTGTAACCAGGATTTGTTTTCTCTCAATCGATTTATGACTTTTGAACAGCAGTATACTACTGTTGCCTATATTTATACTCCTTTTAGGTCCTGTGTTCTGATGAGGCCATGAGGTAATGACATTACTAACCTAACCAGTGTTCACCAGCTACGTTTCCAAAACCAGATTTGTACTCCTCCCAGTTTCTATAGAAATCAACTGAGCCGTTAAACCGTCGTTGTATAACCTGGTTTTAAGAAAAAATAAGAATGTATTTGTCTTTTCTTGTTTTATAGAATTTAAGTCACTTTACTTGACTTTTAAATACTACATTGAAACTTTATATTTTAAGGTAAACTTAAAAGCTACTTTTACGGTTTCGTTAATCCTGCTTTATATATATATTAACCTGTGTATATGTTATGTGTTTAAAACAGTTAAGTGCTCTTAACCTGAATGTGAGTTTCAACTCACTACCGACATGTTTTCGTGATCTCAGAGGGAATCGAATGAATTCCAATAAAAGCGAGACCGTTGCGTCGACAGGGTAAGCGTCTCTTGATATGCTTGCATCCCACGCTATGCGAATAAACACTTGGTCAGAACAATCACAATTGAAAATTGAACACAATCGGTAAATACACAGATCAGACGACTATTCCGGTATCTGAACATCGCAAATAACATTTACACAGACAAATGGTATCGGTCAGTCAATTCGTGATGGTGACATTGAAACTTATGTATTGTCGATTATGAACAGGCACGAGCGTAAAGTATTAATTGAAACATGTAAACGCAAAACCATGTAGCAGAGGGTATGGTACTGCTGAGAAATGGGAAATTGAAATCATCGCGTTTTTCTTGTCATAGATTCTAGGTTGAAGTCATATGTATTAATATTTCGAGGAAGAGGTCAATATATGATACAGACCATCTAGTTTATCATAAATCTAAATTTCACAGGGATACCTAAGATGTAAGCACTCGACAGGTTATTGAGGACAATACATTATCAATATATCATAGAGTGAATGTAAAGAACTTTCTAAATCTTTGTTTGTCTTTAAAAAGGTATATAAATTATGGTTGATATAAACTCAACAAATATGTTGTCGATGAAAAGGTCCAGCATTTCTTTTTATATCATCTTCAGTGTATGTTCTGTTGGAATCAGTGTTGTTTTTCACAAAGTAACGTCTCCCATTATCCAAAACTAGGAATTGGTGTTTACGGTTCCAATTTTTCTGGCAAATGGTCTGTTTAATATGATAATGTAGTTGATCTTTCAATTGAGCATAGGGGAAAGTGGTGAAGAGCATAGAAAAGTCAACAGTTAAGATGTTACCAAAATTGTTAAGATTGTTTATGACGATTTTGAAGTAGATCTTTAGAATTTTCAGAATCTAAAATTTGACTGACACCACTGGTTGAAAATTCCTCTTCATAATATTTCTGTATGCCATTATGCACTGTGGAAGGAATGGTAGTTAAAAAGATGTTTAGTTAATAAGACTTTTTTGTGAAGTTTATCTATCACGTATAAAGACGGGAGGTTTTCATTGTCTTTTTTGTGAATACCATACCAAAGAAGAACTGACTTGTGATTCTCTAAAAGTCTCCACTTTCGCGGAGATGTAGAAGTATCTGTGATTAAATCTGGCCATCAGTTGGACTTTTGTATTGTGTTAACTTTCTGCTATTCTGGGGAATATTGGTATTTTACAATATACGGTATGGATTTTGTCCATCACTGGAGACAGACCTGCAGTTGTAAACATCGTTGTACTTTGTTATATATGCTAACTGTGTAATATATATTTCCGGAGTGTCTCATAAGACAAAAGTAAAATAACAAAAATACCGAACTCCAAGGAAAATTCAAAACTGAGAGTCCCTTATAAAATGGCAAAAAAAAATCAAAAACATCAAACGAATGGAAAACAACTACCATATTCCTGACTTGGTACAGGCATTTCCTTATGTAGAAAATGATGGATTAAACCTGGTTTTATAGCCAGCTAAACCTTAAGTATTTGAACATTGTCTAATTATTATTTTCCATCATGAATACATCCTAAAATCACAATTAAATTATTAGAGACATAGTTTGACCTGTGTCTAACAAAGAGGAAAACTATACCAATATAAAAGCAAGAAGAATGGATATGATTGTCGGTGATTGCAAAATTATATGTTACTGTTCTGAAATTATTAAGGTTACAATTCCCTCTGGAAATGATAACCTTTATACGGATTTGGTGGTTCTTTTTATTTTTATTTGTTTTTTTTGGGGGGTGGCTTTTTTCCTTTCAAACTTTTAACACGTTTTAATTTTCCAAATGTTTGGTCTTGAGCTTTGCAAATAGTTAGGCGGTCTTTTTATCATTTTGTGAAGAACTTGTTTAGGACATCCTCTTGTACGTCCCTTAAAATTGGTATAGAAATATCTCTTTCGGAAAAATTTCAAAATTAGCTATAATGTTTTAAAAATCGTACAGACATGTTATTACGTTTATTAATATATATATATATATAAGTGTTCGACGCTGAGAAAGGAAATTTGTTCGGAAAAAATATTGTTCAATACGTTTTTATAACATCATCTTCGTATATTACCATGATCTTATATAAGAATCGTTGCGAAAATCTTAAGACTTTCATTAAAAAAAATCTTATGTATGTAGTATCGGCTATTCTAGACAATCCGGTACATATTAAATTTGCTGGTTGGTCTTTTTTTTATAGACTTCCAAATGTATGTTAACTCATCAAAATTCCAGTCTTACAGTTTTGTACGCCAGGCGAGTTTCGTCTACAAGAGACTCATCAGTGACACTCGCATCAAAAATGTTAAAAGGCCAAATATAATACGAAGTTGAAGAATATTAAAGGCCAACAATTCCGAAGGTTTTCCCAAATACAGCTAAGGTAATAATATAGATATCTGTCAGATGATTTTCATATTACATGATTTCTGATATATTTATAACATAAACTGTTATCGTTCGGGATATGTTGACCATCATGATTTGTTTGAGATGATTTAGAATGGCACAGAGACTATTCGGAACATGTAGTAAATATACTCACTGTCCAGCCACCTTCATCTACGTCCATGTCGCAATAAACTGAGATCCCATTCGGAAGATGTTCAGGATAAATCGTATAAACACCTGTTGGTTGTCCTGAACTTTTATAAAATGAACAGTCCTCTGCCGGTGGGTTGGTGAAACCTACAAAATACAAAATATAAGTAAGTGCATGTAAATAGGTTAGAAGATATTGAGGGGGAACAAAAAGCCAGCATTTGAAAAAGACAGACACCACGATGTTCAAACGAAAAACGACGAACTAATAAAATCAGTACACACCACAAAACACTGCACAGAAAACCAAAGAAACACGAACTACAGAGTCGCGAAGAACTCATGTAAAGAAGCATTAATTAAATAGGAACAGCTTGTATTATCGTTGAGCAGTTTTTTTTTTTTTCTTCATTTAGGTAGTTTATGATTTAATATTTATCTCATTGTTATATCATTCAAAAAGTGCGTGAGCGGTTTGAAATCTAATTTAAATGGTTTGGAATCTAATTTTAATATGATTAATCATTTTAATCTCGTTTGACTATTTGTAATATTATATTATATCAACGCTATGGTATCTTTTTCGTGTTGCTTAGTCTTTAGTTTTCTATGTTGTGTTTTTTTTTGTATTATTGTTTGTCTGTTTGTCTTTTTCTTTTTTAGCCATGGCGTTGACAGTTTATTTTTCGATTTATGAGTTTGAATGTCCCTCTGGTACCTTTCGCCCATCTTTTATAGTATGTTATAAATCACATATGAGAATTTGAGTCAAATCGGCGAGCATGAATTTGACAGCTAATGCCCCTTCAATCTGAATTTGAAAAGTTGGGAATCTCATATGAACGGCTAGAAATCGCATACTAACATTTTGTAACCTTATATGAATGGTTCTTTATCTCATATTTTCGGCTTGTAATCTCATTTAAACGTCTTTAATCTCATTTGAAAAGTTTGTGATCTCATATGAACAAACTGTAACCTAATATATTTTTTGGTTTTATTTATATATTTTTTATCTCACATTTAAGGAATGACTGTAATAGTTTTTCTGTCTATGAAGAAATAACATCAAAAATGTGGTGCACACTGAATAACTCGCGTAGCGGGTTCTTTAAAAGTGTGCACCACATTTTTTAGGTTATTTCGATTAGACAGAAAAAATATTACAGTCCTTCCTTATAATTTAGTTCTAAAAAGGAGTAAATCATGATAAAAACGTAGATGACATCACGGTCACATGACAAAATTATGTCTATGAGCTAATAGACAAAACACTTTCAACCAATCAGAAGACGTGTTACATCCAAAATTAAATTTTTGGTCTGTAATCCCAATCAATGATGTGTTGTCTCAAATTTTAATATTCTTTGACCGTTTGTTATCTTATCAAAACGATCGTTAATCTCATTTAAAAGTGTCTTATCTTACACAAACGGGTTGTTATCTCGATTGAACGACTTGTGGTCGTATTTTACTGTTTGTTATCTCATGTCAACAATTTGTAATCACCATTTGAACATTATTTAGAATATAGCAAAGTGCTCTCGACCAATCAAAGTGTAGAATTTGGTGTTCCTTAATTGTGAAGAATGAATGTAAGCATGTTCTTAGTAAGGGATTATCCTATTGTTTATGCCTATTTATAGTTCAAATCAAAGAATTTATATAAATGAGTCACATCTACCCAAAGCACATTTATCAAATTGACAGGATTATTAATTGAAAGTTGAATTTTGAAACAAACAAAAAAAATAAGCTTGAAGTTTACTTGTGCAGTATAATTGGTATCGTTTATGTTATTATGTGAATATTTAGAACTTCAAAATTACAACAACAAAAAATAGGCAATACCACAGCAATGTGATAGAAGAAAAAGAAAAAAAACTTCTAAAATTATATTTAACCTAAATCTTTAGCTAATACGCTTATCAAAAATCAGATTACTATATCCGCAGTTAGTAGGAATAGTCATTTCCAATATACCGGTACATACATGAAATCAATTACATAAATAATGTAACTTTTGATTTTCTTTCAAAAAATCATTTTCTTTTTATTGTTAAATTTTAGTTAATTAGATAGTATTTGATGTAAAAGGCTGGAATAAAATTGGTTTTGAACTTATTAAATTGGACTGTAAATAAACAAACATAATTCCTAATTAATTTATTACATAATTTACACTCATACTCACAATTACGAAACTTATACAATTTCTACCATCTCATTTTACCGTTGTGTCAACTAATGCTAAAACACAATTTATAAGAATTTCCCAAACTAGAAGTAAGTCCTCACATCACTAAGACTAATATATAAATGAAATACCTACAAAGGGAGTCATCCATTAATTATAAACATTGCACTGACACTGAAACAAATTCTTTAATAAAACCAATCAAGATAGCTGATTTCTTTCATATCGTCTTATACTTGTGATTAATTATCATTCGGACGGTAAATATGTATTTAGGCTAATGTCTATCCAGTAGCCATTGTTTTGGTACGAACATGATTGAAAAATGGTTGCAACTTCTTAGACAATAATGAATCCGGCTAATCTGTTTTGAATAGTTTTAAGCTCATTTGACAATTTGAAATACTAGTATATCATAAATGAACGTTTGTATACCAAAGAATATCTCCACAGAATTATCTATAATCGTTGATCTACAATAATTAAACACTAACGATGGTCGTTTGAATCAATCATGAGAATATTACATATACTGGTAAATTTAATATTTATACTGAAATGACGTAAGTATCACGTCCGCGATTATTTCAACAACCAGCTATCCTATCTGATACCTAGTGACTCGGCACTCCTACTGTATGAACCAATAGTAACTTAATTTCTAGTGATAAAAATCATCTAAGTGCCGAAATAAAGAAATAATATGTGCCTTTTGGACATCTTTGGCCATAGCTATTTCGATTTTCGTTATTGGATAAGTTATTAGTACAAAAAATAAGGAGATGTGGTATGATTGCCAATGTGAAAACTATCCACTAGAGCCCAAATGACGATGATTGAAGCAACAATAGGTCACCTTCCGGTCTTCTACAATGAACAAAACTTATACCATGAAGTCACCTATAAAAGCCTTTAAGGCTATAAGATATCTTCCAAAGTTTATAAAATATTTTAATAATTTGTAGGAGATATCTTATAAGTTTTCTTTATAATAAATCTTAATATGTATTTTAATGGATAATTTGTAAGGAACATTTTATAAGATATTTCATAAACTTGATAAGATATATCTTATAAACTGTATAAGATATCCGATGAAATTTTAAAGATATCTTAGAAAAACATGGAGATATCTTATAGATTTTATAGAATATCGTATATACTGTATGATATATATCACATAATTAAAAAGTTATCTTATATATTTTATTGACTATATGAATGATACCGAGATATCTTATAAAGTTTAATTTATATCGTATAAGGAATAGAAGATATTTTAAAAAGTATATGAGATTCCAAGAATGTTGAATAAATATAAATGCCATAAATACCATTCGATATATATTGTTTCTCTAATTCTTCGTCAATTTATCACTTTCTGCACCCATTGAATAAAAAAATTTAATCAACGTGTGGTTCGTTTGATCTCAGTTCTTCATTGGTTAAAATCCGATTATGACGTTGAATCATCTTGCTTTCCTCTGAATTTCCTATTGTGACGGCATGAAAAAAGGCGACCATGCCTGATGACGTCACATAGAAAGAACACATCTTTTTGCAGATCATTCGAAAAGAAGGAATTATCTGCATATTGTTTGAAAATCATTAGAGAAACAGATTCCACCACCAAATCTCGTGTAATACGATATTTATCCACTCTCGACAGTTAAATTTTAAATATTTAAAACGCTCGGCGAGCCTCGCGTTTTAAATTTGAAAATTTAACTGTCTCGAGTGGATAAATATCGTATCACACTCGATGCAGTGGTAGAATCTATATTTATCTTTAGTAATGACGCACTTTTTATTATTACCTAGTAGACGTAAAATTATATAGAAGTCCCTCATTGATATTTAACCGAAAAATAGATCATATATACCAATCTTTATTTCCATAAATCGAATTATTCAAGTATTTGATCTCAGCACATAAAAAATATTGTTACACTTAATTACAAACCATTGAAGCGGATAATTTATACTCAAATGTTTAAGCTCGAATTATCTGATCATCTTTGAGATAACGAATTTAAATGTCTTTGTTTTTCTCACATTTCATAGAAGTATCCATTACCGATAATTGAATTGCCATTAGAATATTGAGGTTGCATATCTAAACGACTTGATTCATTGCCGTGTAATTTGTTAAAGGGGAAATCATATAATTCTCAATATTTCTTGAAACAAATAATACATTTTGAACTTCAATCTGGGAATAAATACAAAAATTAATGTAATTAGAATGTATAAAATATTAATTCAATAGAAGCATTACACGCCATATGTTAACTGGGGTATACACATATAATAACCCTAACTTCTTAAAACCCGGCTGTTAGATTCATGATGATGTGGTGTACGTTAAAGTTTGAATGTGTGGAATGTAAATATACAGCCATGTACGGTCGGAATGGGAACGTAAACTACTCATGTAGGAGAATTCTGGAATTTCTAAAAGCACGTTAAAGAGCGACAACTCTTTGAGAGGTCCGAAGACAATTTATTAAAATGCAAGCTTACTTTCTGGGTGGTATATATATTTATTTAATTATGTTTATTCGTTTATTCGTCTGAATAATAATGAATAAAGGAGATAAGAGGGTTTACGTCTATGAGACAGCAACCCAACTACAAAATAATCAAACATGCAGTGTTAAACAAATTACAGATGTCCAAACAATATATATCAAGCGACAAGTCTATAAAAAATTATTTTACTGATTTAAAAAGAGGGATAGAAGATACCAACGAGATTTTCAAATCCGGTTCCACATGTGGCACCCGTCGTGTTGTTCATGTAAATACAAACTCGGTGATAAGTCTAACTCTATGTCTAATTCAGGGGATCCACATTTATGCTGTGTGTTATCTTCTCTTGTCATAAATATTTACATAATATATATTAATGAATACAAGGAATTTCCAACATGTATGACTGTACAACAGCTTGTACAATCAACCAACATCCGACTCCTCCGAGAAAATAAACGTACAAGCAGAGACAAAACAAAACTTACAATACATGATCCAGATAGCCTGACATGGTAGGGCACATGAGGGTGAGGTTAAACGAGTTTTACATGCAAACATACCTTTCCCCTTGCCTATCTAGACAATACACAATAAGTAAAACAAACAATATATAACCTTTTTACAGTAAAACACACAATATATAACCTTTACAGTAAAACACACAATATATAACCTTTCAGTAAAACACACAATATATAACCTTTCAGTAAAACACACAATATATAACCTTTTTACAGTAAAACACACAATTATTATATATAACTTTTACAGTAAAACACACAATATATAACCTTTACAGTAAAACACACAATATATAACCTTTACAGTAAAACACACAATATATAACCTTTACATAAAAACCTACATGATGACAACTTACATGAGCAAGGAATTAAAAGCGTCACGAAATTTGGATAGAAGTGTCAAAATTGGCTCACTATTACCTAGCTCAAAAAGTCAAAGATGTGTGATCGATACTGCCGATCAAGAAAAACAAAAAATCAGATACAACGCTCCAAAATATACAAAGAAAAGGATTTAACCCGCGAAGCTTTTTTCATAATGCATCTTAATACTTACAGTTTCATTCAAATAAATGTTAATATAGTACTTCATACCTGCAAATTTTTAATGTTAATAACATTGAATTAGAAATATTATGTAAAGATTCCTTAATAATCTCAATGTAAGAGTTTTTTAATGGACGATATCTCGGGGTTTTTTTTGTACGAATTTTGCTCATTCGATTACCCTTTTTCGAATCTTGTATTAAGAAAACAAAAATTTCGGTGGCAACGAAATATAATAATTCTTAAACTTTTAAACGAACTTATTCGAATAGATTTTCGATAAACAGCATTTAAATAAAATATTTTTTTTTACGATTTTTACATGTATTGTAAACATTTTTCTATTTGCCAGATATTAATTTTTTTATTATACCTCACGTATTAATCTTCATTAAAATTGATTGTTGTTTGTTGCAAGTTAGTCCATCATTCATTTTTCAGAACAAGAACGAATTTACAATAAAAGCAAAAGGTAGCCGCTGCAATGTGTAACAACCATTATCGCTATTTTACGATTTTTTCCTTTGTTCTTGCTGACTGATAATTTCCGTTCTCAGCGGAGTCGAGTGATATGAAAACGGAGTCGAGTGATATGAAAATTATCGCTAGAAACTAAAGGAACACGTGCCGTTGTCAAGGAAATTAACAACGTCTTCATAGCGATAAACAGATTAACATTGGTCATCTCAACTCGATTGCTTTTCTCGCTTTCGCCGTACCGGCTCAAGCGAGAAAATTAATATCGTTGAGATAACCAACGATAATCTATAAATATAAACAACTCGAATTACGACTGCAACTGAAAAATAAAGGTACATGTATGATGGCAGAAATCATGCCTTGGAACAGGCCACATTCGGAGCCATCAAAGATTTATGTAAAGGTTCTTTAACGTGCAGAGAGCGTTTGACTCTCCTTAAATAAGACATCGGATAGAAGGTATCTCGCACAACACTGTCGGATTGTAGAAGTTTATGTTTGACTCTATTGGAAAGTATACAAATAAAATATATCATATTTTCAATTGTCATACACAGTTCCACACTCCTATTATTTTAACATCAAATAATTGTTTTTTATTCTTCAGGTTGCCTGTTACAATTATAAGTTACTGTCCAAGCTCCAGTGCATGAAGTATCCCTGTTAAATGCTTACTGAGTATCCAGGAAAATACTCAGAATATAAAAAAAAAATATACCTAATATATGATAATTTTTTTTCCTATCATATCAATTTTTTAAAACTTATGAAAAATGTGTTTTGAGAGACCGTTTTGTTCTCATTCATTACCGTTCGTAGTTCTTTTATTAACAGATCATACACATCTAAGAGTTTCAATTTTTGCTCGGAAACATAGTAGGACTTGTTAATACAAAAACCTAAAACTGTCAAAAAATAATTAAAACCATAATATCCTTGATCTTATATTTTGTGTCCAAGTACTATATGTTCAAATAAAGTGGATGTAAGCAATTATAGGCACCCGTACGGCCTTCAACAATGAGAAAAACCCATACCGTATAGTCGGCTATAACAGGCCCTAACATGAAAAATATGAAACAATTCAATTGAGAAAACTAACGGCCTGATTTATAACAAAACAATTTACGAAAAACACATATATATGACAGACATAAACCAACAACAACAACTGAACTACAGGCTCCTGACTTGGGACAAGCATATAAAGAATGTAATACGGTTGACACTATATTTCGGAACTATACGAATAGAATATATATTATATTTTCGATTTCCATACACATTTCGACATTCTTCAGTTGCAAACAAATATGATTCAACTGAAATCCACGAGATCGATCTTTTACATCCCTGTTACGATCTCACACCTATTCAGGTTTTTTTCACCTAAAGGTACAAAAAACTAAGTGAAAAACCCCTTCTGTTTTATCAGATTTCGGCTTTACTTTCTATCCCATAGTTACAAAAATTAAAATGAAAACAACCCAAAAGTTTAAAAGTGACCGTGTGACGGTGTGTGTTAGACATTAGAAGCAGGCATAGTTTTCGGAATACAGATTAAGATACTTAAATCTATTGTTAATTCTTTTGTATTTGCTTACCTTCTAAATCTCGTCTGAAAAGTGAAAATCCTGTTTGACGTTCATCGCTGCCGGGACAACAACCGGAAGTAAAGATATTGCATGTTCGTGTTTCTGGGTTGTAGTCTGCTAAACATGCATCATCTCTTCCATGGAATCTTCGTACGCAGACAATAACAGATTTTGCAAGTTCCGATTCCACGGGATTGATAGTTTGTTTAACTCGCCTGTTTTTCTCCACAGAATATTTTCCTACACGCACGGTTGTACAGATTGAATCGTCCATACTTGTGATGAAAATCAGCAAAAGGAACACGAATTTCGTCTGTTGATGTCTGGAAACATCCATCTTCAATTCAACATAGTATTGTTATATAAACTTTAAAATGTTGGCTTGAAAAATGATGTGGGTACCGTGAATGAAAATGTTAAACAATCAAATGTATTCTTCATAATTATGATTTTTCCTTTAAAATCTGTAAACTCAAAATGAATTCAATGTTTTAATTGCGCCTTATTAAGTATTTATATATGCAGTTTGTAAAATTTAATTTGAAAAAATTTTGAAATTGCTTCTGTTTTTCTACAATCCAAACTATTTACTAACGACTGTCGAAATCAACCATAACGGGAGAAATATCTGTTATATAAAAGTTACGAATAAAATCGTTGATTCATTAATCAATTGTCTTTCTGCATTTAGTAGCGATCCATCATTATCTAACATTATACAGATTTATATGAATACAAGACTTTGTTCCGTAACACTCTAACAAACAGATGTTCCAGCGGTTTGTCATGAATGTTCCGCTAAGATACCGTAAATACGTTAGAACTAAGACCCTGGAAGTCCACTCATCTTTATACTATAACTAGTTATCAAATTACCCATTGTGAATTTTATGATTCCAAATTAATATAAATATTTAATATTCAAACAGATTATGAGTAATAATAATAAGCATAAAATAGCCATCAATTAACCAATCCGTTAAATCGTCTGTTTACTTTCTTTGTCACGTGTCTTTCATGTTCCATGGTACTTTATGTGATAGGCTTTCATTGATGGTTGGCTGAGCATGTTTTAATCATCTTTAATCATGTTTTATCTCTTCATCGGGGAAAACAACAATTAACATGCAATAATAAGAAAACATTAAAGTCATGTGTTAAACTAATGTTAAATGTCACGATAGAAAAACAAAGACAATTAAATTCAGATACGGTGCACTTTAAAACAATGTTTAATTAAAAATGTTGATTCTTTTAGATATTAATTTGTTTATACGCAGTTATCGAACCTTTCTAAAAGTTGTGACTCTCGTAGCTGGTTGAATTTTTTATATTCTTTTCGTGTATTTGAAATCTATTTTATATATTGAGTTCATTGTCCTTTTAGCACCCGCGGCTCTTTTCACAAAAAATGTTAAGAGTAGAGATACTCGTAAGTCATACACATTTCAGTATAACTTACCATCAATTTTAATCGTAAGAATTTTTGTGAAAAGAGTTGCTGTACTTGGTCAGAGACATATTATATAATTGTATGATATGTCTCTGACTTGGTGATTCCTGCCGCATCTCAATAACTATAATATATGTGTTCATTCCTAGAGGTTTATTGTTTTATATTTTTTGGTAATAATTGCCTATTAAACTTGCGCAAATTATGAAACGTCCACTGAGCAGGATGACTTCCGCCATCTTGGATTGTAAAATGGCAAAAGACAATTGGTCTATGTCTATAATGTAATAAGCAAATTTTCATAGAGGACTGTAATTCATCTAATTGAAGTAATGTCCCCATTTTCAATCTCAAGTTTAATGTGTTTCATTTTATCATTCCGACTGTTTTTACACGTGTAGAATATTTTTTTGTTTGAGTTGATGTCTATTACAAATTAGCCATATAAGGGAGATAATCAGATAATCTAACTTTTATAAAGAAATGTGCAGTAAATTTACCCTATTTTGTTTTGTAGCAAGAAAACGAGTATTATGACCTCAAATTTTATTTTTATTTTCTGAAAAAAAGTTTCCATGACACATCCGGAAATTTGATAGTGTGATAGCTAGGCATAGTGTCCTTTGAACGCATATTCTTATAGATCAATATTTTGTCATCTGTAAGTGCATATCTATTGTAACTTTTATTGGAAATAACTATCTCCTTGTCTTATAACGATGTGCAAGGAGCAACATAATCAAAGTTTGACGTCTTAAAGGCAATATAATGCAACATTTAACGCCAGTTCTTAAATTAGAAAAACATATCAAAATATCTTATGAATCGATTTGGTTATCTCCCTAATTCAAATTGGAGGTCTTTCTAAAATGTTATCACCCTTTTGAATTTGTCCCCATTGACTGTTGTAATCTGTTGTCTGTATAAAAAGATGTGGTCGGATTGTCAATGAGACAACGATCCAAAGTACATTGATTTCAGCAAATAAAGGTCACAGTACGTACGGCATTCAAAAATTACAGCAAAAACCATACCGTATAGTCAGTTATAATAGATCCAGGTCACCGTACGGCATTAAAAAAATCAGAGCAAAAACCATACCGTATAGTCAGCTATAAAAGTCCATCAGATAAAGTTCACTGTACGGCATTACAAAATCAGAGCAAAACCCATACCGTATAGTCAGCTTTAAAAGATCCATCAGGTAAAGTTCACTGTACGGCATTAAAAATTAGAAATACCGGGCATCTGTGCGTCCGTCCGTCCGGTCTTGTAAGCGCTCTTACCGTGTACAATTCTTGTCCGTTTTTTATCCCTTAATTTCTTTAAGATATTTATAAAAAGTTTCAAAGAAAAACAAAATTATTTTTTAAGTTTTTGTCCCTGAACAGATAAACTATGTACAACGCGGGGGACATTGGAACTCTGTTCATGTATTGCCAATCAATGTATTGTTATTCTTTTTATTTCCATTCTGGAATAAATGTATTCATGCTACTACTTTCCATGACCGCGTGGTACATAAAACGACAATTAAATGTAACCGCTGCTGTTATCATCAAATAACATATTGATACAGGAGAGGGGTTTTAATTTTATTCTTCTTATTTTCCATTTAATGTATCCTATATTTCGATCTCAACATATATCAAGGATTTATATCCTGTGGAAGTTTTCTAATATATTTAAGAGGGTGTGGATGGGGTTGACAGAATAGAGAATAATGGGCAAAAAATATAAAGGATAGAGAAAAATGGGCAAAAAATATAAAGGATAGAGAAAAATGGACCAGCGACACTTTTCACAAAAAATTCTTACGATCAATTTTAATCGTAAGTTATACTGAAATGTGAACGACTTACGAGTTTTTGTGAAAAGAGCCGCTGAAAAATAAAGAATAGAGAATAAAGAGGTGGTAAATATAAATAATAGAGAATAATGAGGGGCCTGATGGGGGGGGGGGGGGGGGGGGGGTCTCATCACGATTCACGAGTTGATTTTTTTTTGTCAATCACGATTCACAGAAAATAAATTTCCATGATCACGGATCACGAAAATATAAAAAAAAAAATCGGTAGAAAAACGGATCACGATAGCAAAAATGCGCCGATCACGAAGAACGAAAATAATCCATCAGGCCCCTCAATAATGGGCAAAAAGTTTAAAGAAAAGAGAAAAATGGCCTAAAAATTAAACAATAAAGATATGACGGACCTCCATCGAGACCCTCATTAATTTATTAGTCCCATTATCTAACAATTGATAATCAAAGATGAAAGGTGATGAGCTAGAATCTAATTACAATCATTACGTGATAAATAGATTCAAAGTCAATAACAATGTATTTTATCTTATCTCAAGCATTTATCTACAATAGAAAACTATAAAATACAACATTAATTGTTTCATTGTTTTACATTGGATCCCAGAGCAAGTTTCTTTTTTAATTGCTAATTACTGAAAATAATTGGAATATCAGAAAGTTTGATTATCGAATACTAAAATAGAGAAATCAATTTCGTTAGTTACCAATTAACTAAATGTTAATTATGTTTGTGCTCAGCCTACGATAAAAAAGGGGGCATGGTGTTATCCGATCTGAGAGTCCGCCCAGCAAACACAAAAACATCTTTAAAATGTTTTTAAAATGTTGTGTCTAATGTCATGAAAATATTACAAAAAAACGTGAAAAAAACATTAAATGTATGGTAGAATATATATCACTAAAACGTTTTCTAATATATTTTCTAAAATATTGCATAATATAATTAAAATGTTGTAAAGAAATATCATGATAATGTGAAAAACAATGGCGTATAAAACATTTCGATAATCTTTTAAAAAATATTTTCTAGAAATATTTTCTGAACGTTTGAAAAACATCATGAACATCAAATAATGTTATAAAAATGTTTTTTGGATGTTTTCTTGTAAGTTAGACTGTGCCTAAAATGTTTTCAAAATGTTTTAAGAAGATGTTTTTAGTTGATATCAAGATCATATCAATATAAAAATTTCTGTACTTTTGATTGAGTTTCCTGCTTTTTTAAATAACAAATCATTAGTTAAATTAATTTATACACAGTGATTAATTCTATATACAAACAAGAATAAATCAGTTGTTTTGCTAAGCATATGACAAATGTATGAAATTCACAATTCAGTCTCTAAAAACAAGAAGTATCTACAAATTTTGACACATCCAAAATGGCAGACACAACTCATCATGGTCAAGCCACTTAACAAATATGAAGTCATTCTGTTCATCAGCATTACTAATTAAAGTAATGAAAAATTTGAGAACATTCAACATTTTGAAATACAATGTATAAGCAAACAGGAAACAGGTGCCAGATACAAAAATGTTCACACATCACAGTCCATCACTATCAAGCAGCTCATTTTAAAATATGAACTCATCTTTATCAGCTGTTTTGGGAAAAACAGTGATGAAAATATTTATTGGACAAAATCCGACAAATATAGGTGAACAGACGACAGACAGTGCAAGAAAGCCCACATTCCAACCACAATGGTATAATGTTTAGTTTTTCACTCTCAACTTTTATTACCTATCTTATACACATCATGCATATGTCAACCTGAACATGCATGACATATACCCGGTATGCCATTGGACATTATGCAAACATTATACACATTTTTAAGTTCAAGTTACATTGACTAAAACTTGTGTCCCAAATTCAGATTTTTCAATACAACTTCTCTTTCTAAACTAAAATGCTACACTTCTAATAGGGTTACATCTTAAGTCAATAATCATTGATACTTGGCTGAAGAGATGAGAACAAAACACCATTTTACATCAACTATTTGATTTATTTAAGAATACATTGAAAAAGTCAATCAATTGTCTTATTCAAAATCACTTGGAATGTCTTGTAGTGTCTTATATCTTTTTCTTGCTGTGCCATGCTTCTGAAAAAAAAAATTAATCTTACATTCATATACAAACTTCTTGCACATTCCTTTATCATAGAACGATTCACGTTGCCTGAAGGATATACATCCCCTCCCCTTTAAAGTTTTGAAACAAATAACGATGATAGTCTGTCGGAAGGGGACGATAAATGGCTGACCGTGTTAAGAGAGAGCAATATGCCACGCTGAACTTCATTTAGTTATTAAAAAAAAAAAACATAAAAAACTTTAGACTAGATATGTGTCCAGTCAAGAGTCTTATTTCATTAAATTCGTTGATTGTTGTCTATCATAATTTTTTTCTTTTATTGTTTTGTATAAATCAGGCTGTTGTTTTTCTTGTTTTTGTTAGTTTTCATTAAATGCATTGTATATAATGTAGGGGCCTTTAAAAGCCCTGCTACATAATGTCATTAAACATCTTATTGTCCTTTTTGCATGTTTTGAGTGATAAACTCTGTAGAGTGACATAGTTTATAACTTGTCATTTGTATCTAAGGGCATATGATACAGTCCTAGAAGTATACTATAGGCACATAATAACTTATCGAAGTGTTACGCATTGTTTTCGCAATGATGATAATAATATAACTTAACTTCCGAGAAACACACAGATGTCATTAAATGAGTTGTTTATATGTATTTGAAATACTTCAAAGGAAAGCAAATATGTTGTTTATGAAAGCACACTGTTGGACTAAAGGATTGATTTAAATAAACAACTTGTTTCTATTTTGTCACAAAAAAAATAATTTATTTAAATATCCAGATATCTTTTCTGTATTGTATGCCCTTAATCTTGAATGCAATGCATTGTTTATGCTAAATATTTGAATTAAATATGGAATAACAGTAATTCTGTATAAAAATCTTACTTCAAAAAAAAATTCTACTGAAAGGTTGTAGACATTCCAAAGAACCTGCGCCACTTCCAAATTGTAAACCTGCATATTGAACTTGTCCTTTGTGGCTTTTCTTTTAGCTCCTGTTAACAAATAAAAGATACATTGTATGTACATTGTGTGTATGAAGCAATAAATATAATTTTAAGCAACAGTTTATATTATCTTGCTTGTACTGAAGTCTTGCATAGTCTTTGTAATGTTTATTAAGCTGTTAAAGGAAATTTAATTTACTGTTTTGCAAATACATACATACACTGATTTTACTAGAAAAAAAATCTCCATATTCAAATGGTGCTTATATTAGTGTTATTGTAACTTGTTTGTGTGCCTCGGAAACAAGGTATTCAGTCATGCTTATTGCAATAGTTGTTGTTGGTTTAAGTCTGTCAAATTTCTTTTTCATAATGTGTATTTAATGTAGGCAGTTAGTTGTTTTGTTTCAATTGTGTTGAGAAAAATTTAACATTTGTTTGTCAAGGCTTCAAAGTGGACTATATGGCATTGGTTTTCTCAGTTTTGAAAGCCGTACAGTGACCTATAATTTCTTTTATCCAAGTCATTTAAATTCTGGTGGATAACTGTCTCATACACCTTATCGCTATTTCAGTATTTGGAAATCTGTCCCGCTTGAACTTTTTACGTCAGCATACGTCATACAATAATACACCTTATCGCTATTCCCGCTTGACCCGAGAATCTATCCTGCTTGAACTATTGACGTCAAACAACAATCACTTTTCCATTGTGGCATCAGATATTTTTTATGATAACGTCAAAATTTTAAGGGAACTTGTGACAGTTGTGTGATGTCCAGTAATGGTGGACAAATAGCAATAAGGTGTATTACTTTCAATTGTGGTGTTAAATATTTTCTAATATGACGTCAACATTTTACGGGAACTTTTGTGATGTCCATGGCCAGTAATGGCGGACAAATAGCGATAAGGTGTATTGGCAATCAAACACACAAGCCACATATCTTTATAATTTTTTTATATCAATGAACAAATTCATAATTGGTGTACGTAGATGCTTGAACAGTGTCGGATTTAGAGGCCCCGACCCCCTTATGGAGCTACTTATAAGATAAATGTATAGACTATTTACAAGTATCACTCCAAACGTTTGCTTGCCTTGGGCAGGGGCCCCCTTTTTTCAAAACCTTGATCCGCACCTCCAGAAACAGATGTAATTTGGTTCCGATTATGATTGAACACACACAATGAATGCACAAGTTTCATCTTAACAGATTAATCATTCTTACCAAGTGAGTATATATCGCGTAACAAACAATTTTCTTGGCTCTCTTTGTTGATATCCTGTCTTCGTTTCGAAATTCAAATTTCAAAATCATTTCCGGTGATAAAACAAAAGTCGATTCCGGAAAAGGTCGGTTTTCCGTAAGGCATATAAACGATACGAAAATTGAACTTAGTACAGTTACAGTTTTCATTTCTTAATTTCTAAAATATACACGAACGAAATGAATAAACATTAAAGAAAGGTGATTGTTTATTAATACATTATTGCTTAATTTAATGTTGACTCTTTTGAATTTTAATATAAGAAGGAATAAAATCTGACTTCAAGGATCTTCAAGATATCAATTAAGGATTTCAACCATAGTATCTTGCTTGTCATGATATTGATGAAATGTAGTACTATATCTTATCCTAAAAAAAAACGAGCTAATTCCACAAAACATTGTTTGTGGGGTTTTGAATAAAGTTTAAATAAAATGTTATTTTTATATCCGTAAAACAATGTAAAATGTTGAATAAAATATCAGTAAGACTATTAAGTAATGTGTATGTCAGAATATTTTATAGAAAACATTCAGCTGATATTTTTCAGATGTTTTATGTAAAACATTTTAATTTTACGTTTTAAAACATTTTATGCAAATAGCAAAACTATATTTTCTGTAAAACATTTTTTTGCAGAATGTTTTTTGGATATTTGGAAAATATTTACTTTAAATGTTTTTAAAATATAAAATACCAAATGAAGAAAATATTATTTTTTTATATTATAAAATATCTACGGGATATTTTAGAACAATGTTTGAGAACATGAATAAAAGATATTAGCAAATAATATTTTGTTAATGTTGTAAAAACATTTTACTTAAATGTTAGAAATAAAACATTTCAAAAACAATAAAATAAACATTTTTTTTATGTTTAAATGATATCTTATTGAAATATTTTGTGAGAGACGTCCATATGACATTTAAAAAATGTTTTTAAAATGTTGTGTGTTTGCTGGGCGTCCGTTCAGCTGTTCTGCTGTTTGTCCGCCCCGTATTAGGTTAACGATTATTATTTAAAGTATTTGAAACGTAGTGCACATTCATTGTATGTTCATCTGGATCTGAACTTTTTGAAAGAAGAAGAAAAAGAAGAAGTTTTTTTTTTTAATGCAGTCCATAGGCTTTCACTGTACAACATAATCTTTCTTTTCTCAGTAAGATTTTTACTGGAAGGTCTTGATAGTCTGTGTGTTTGTAGATCTAATTCTTTTGTAGATCAACTAATTATAGAATTTAGACTACAACTGTCTATATTGGTAGCGTATTGCTATTCGTGCATAGATACTGCAGAAATTCTACTGAATACGCTTCCAATATTTGCCACTGAACGTTAGGTAAATAATAATAAATCAATCATACACCGTGGATATCGAAACATAAAGGAGGCCATGATGAAATAAATTTTAACTGTGCGAGTCGTACAAAAGTACACATCTACGTCTTGTAGGAAATGGGGTCTCTAGACAAATGTCTCATAATTTTCAAAAAAAATAAACATTTATAAAAAAATAAGTCATCATAGATAACAGGATAAAAACAAATTGTACGCCGCAGACGCGTGTTTCGTTAACAGAAGACTCATCTATTTCTAAAATTCAAAGTTTTATCATCCGTTAATTTATAATAAAAGTGATGTGGAGTTTACATCAATGAGATAATAACCAAACGACCTTCAAAAATATCACGAGATATTATGAGATATCACGAGAAGTTTAAACAAAGAGCCAATGTCTACAATATATCAAGCTGTATAACGCATCTACAAAAGTCGTTGGTCCACATGTTGTTATTAATAACAACAATTATATTCTGAAATGTAAATAAGATAGTCAATTGAAAATTGTATTAAAAGTAAAATGTTACATAACACGAATGTAAATCATCGTCGATGATATCAATGTCAATATGTAGTCAGTAATAGATCTCTCGGAGAATTTAGATGGCGTTATACGATCAGAACTGACTTTCCAATTAAAGGAGATATTAAAATTTAGATATAATTGTCAATAGAAATTAATTGTGGATAATATCTTAATGATACCTTGTTGTTTAATGTAATATTTTTTTTTCTAGTTTTTGGATCTGACATTTTTTTGTTTAATTTAAGGTAAAGGACATATGAACTCCGTTTTGAATTCAAGGTAAAGGGCATATGAACTCCATTTTGGTTTAAAGTTACACACACTGAATCGGAATTCACATTAAAGTACCAGTCCATAGGTAGACTGGATGGGATTACATAATAGAGAATAATGGTTTGCAAGTTTGGCTGTACCTGTAAAAAAACTTATTTCAGACGGAAAAGTACATCCTAACTTTTATGTTGATGTTGATTACCGAGCACGGAAATTTATATACGGTCCGGGTAAACTTATCAATCCTTAAAGGCTTTAAATAAACTTATTCTAAAAGGCTACTGATTCGATCAACACTGTAATTATATCTTTGAATATTGTTTTTATTGGTATAAATATTGATTTTGTTATCAATAAATGAAAACCGTACTAAATAGTATTGTTATACACATATGCCCTTTCACGGTACTACAATTAATCTGTCGATACCTGTATTTTGGCATTGCACAAGGTCATGTTTTTCTCTGGCTACAAATATGACGTCTTTGCACTAAATCCATTGGATGTTGGATGTGTAATATTTATATCTTAGTCTTAGATACGTGATTTCTTTTATTAGTTGATATTGGCTTTGAACTAGCTTTCTGTAACTGCGGGTACTCTCAGATCTGTACTTTGTGTCTTTTTTGTTGTTATGGATGTATAAATAACTGCCACGTCCACTCTGTGTTTTTGTTACTTATTTTTGTGCTTTGTATCGATCTGATGATTTAAGCCATTTTCAACGGATTTTTATAGTTTGTTCTTGTGTTGTGCTGTAACACCACTGTCCAAGGTTAGGGGAGGGTTGAGCGCCCACAAACATGTTTAACCCCGCCACATTCTTTATGTGTCAGTCCCAAGTCAGGAGTCTGTAGTTCATTGGTTGTCGTTGGTTCATATCTGTCATATTTTTTTTTTGCGAATTGTTTTGTTATAAATTAGGCCGTTAGTTTTCTCAATTGAATTGTTTCATATTTTACATGTCGGGGCATTTTATTTTTTTTCATTGGTGAAGGCCGTACGGTTGCCTATAATTGCTTAATCCACTTCATTCAAATTTTAGTGGATATTTGTCTCATTGGCAATAATATCGCATCTCCTTATTTTCATAATGGATCAATACTACAGAACAAACAAACAAAGAATAGAGGAAAATAGACCAAAAATTAAAGAAATCTCTATTCTATATTTTTTGGACTATTTTTCCAAGTATTGCCCATAATTCTCTATTCTGAAAATCTCATCCAGACCCTCATAGTGCGTCATATTATATCGACATGTCATCCAATGGACTGTTACCTCGTGAAGTAGCATGCTTCGATTCCGACTCATGGTGTCAGTGTAGCCCATAATTATTGCGTATTAAATTTACATGTCATTGTTTGGTGATTTGAACTAGATTTTAGTAACTGTGAGAATTATAAGAACGATAATTTGTGTCTTGTGTCTTTTAAAAAAAATGCGCTGAGTACCGATCTGGTGATCCAAGTCCTTTCCTATTTTTTTTTATTGTCCTTATGCTGTACAGTTACACAACACTGTCCAAGGTAAGGGGATCATTTTAAACCAAGCCATTTAAGTGCCTGTCCCAAGCGAGTAACAGTAATCCTCAGTGGTTGTCACAGGTTGCTGTCTGCCATGATTGCTTTTCTTTCATTGGTGTAGTATAAATCAAGCCGTTGTTTTTCTCTTTTGAATTGTTTTACATTTTTATTCCGTTTATTTTTATTATTCTATTTTACTACACGGTATGGATTTGTCCATTGTTAAAGGTCGCACGTATTTTTGTTCTTTGGTTTATGGGTGTTTGTCTCAACTCCTATCATAACACATCTCTTTTTTTGAGATTCAACTTTATCATGTTTACTGTGTTGTATTATGAAGAAAGCAAAACATAAGATCGTGTGTACTATCCTATTTCGTAGGAAATGTATTTGAAATATGATTGATGCTTGCCTAACGTCTAACAACAAATATAAAATGCAGGATACTCATGTGATGTCTGTATTATCGGGGTTTTGTATATATTATCGTAAAATGTTAGTGACATGTGTACTAAGTTTCATGTTGACGTGACCACAAACTACCTTTATTAGACCAATTAAAATGTAAACCTATCACATTTCCGTGTTCAGTCAGCCATGAAATCTGGGTCAAAGCCCTAATTTGGCATATATTTTTAATTGTTCCCTAAAATAAACATGTGTACTAAGTTTCAAGAAGTTGTGACATAAAACTAAGCTAATTCACGACTGACTTCTACATTTTGTTAGAGCGTAGTGAAATACAATCCAATTCCAGATTAACAAAAGCTACCTTAAACAAATTAAAAACCTTTAACACGATAGATTATACGGGAAGGACGGACCTACGGTCAAACAGACGTTCATACTGGAAAACATAATGCCCCTCAAGTACTATCCCACAGTGGGGCAGAAAAAATCAAAAGACATGTCACCTTACTATAGGACTTCCATACTGGGACTTATGAGTCTCCATGTCGTTAGTCTTATTCATAAATGTCGCGAACTGCATCTGTTGTCACGTGGCACGCATTCGTCTAGAAAGAAAGCGGTAGGTCGTGGATTTGATCTCCAGCTGAATCAAACCAATGACTTTAAATTAGTAGTGCGGTTTCTTCAAAAGGCACGCGTCATTCAGAAGTAAGAGCAAGATGAGGCTGAGCAGCAGTCATAATAATGAGTCTGATTCGTGTAATTTGTCTTCATGCGGACTGATACATGCGAGTTAGCACGGGTCAATTTAAACATCTAACTCAGCGTGACGGTCTAGTTCAAAGCAGAGTGAATTCATATTTCATTACTTAAAGTCCCGAATATGCATGTTTGATATTGCGACAGGACATTTTAGACTTTTTGTGCTCATATACTTGTTCCTGGATTTAACCCACAAGCTTCCGCGCGCTTAAACCATGACTTCCATGATACCATCGATGCAGCTATTAATTACACCAACGTTCCCGGTTCCCTTTATTTAAAAAGTCATATCCGTTTCAAATTAATTATGGTTTTGACTGTTAATAAAATTGAAAGTCAACATTATTGTCTACGTCATTTAAGTTGCAGACGATTTAATCTTCTTCATAAAGAATTTCAATCTATAGATTATTCTCCACGTGCTGTTCGTGAAGACTACGAGATGTAGCGATAATAATCTCTCCACGTGCTGTCCGTTAAGACTACGAGATGTAGCGATAATGATCTGTAAATTACCAGTAGA